TAGTGAGAGCGTCTCTTACTGCAGACATTTTTATATAATAATCGCCACGTTCACCACACAATATTTAACTAATATCACGAAGATAATGGAATACATTTTTTTTCCAAAGGTTCATTAAAAGATTGTGTGTGAATTTTCTTTTTCTCACGTTACACATATACCGCTTATATTGAGATCAGACTTCTACAATATAGTGTTAAAAAACAAAGAGACGTTTATCTGGAACTTATGTTTAGTAACAGCAAAATGTCATAAATGTAACAAACACTTTAAGGAATCCCAGATAACTGATATTAAAAGGTGCACAACATTTTTTTCCTTTCAAGTAATTCTTTTCTAAAATTAGCTAACATTTTCTCAAGGGATTAATGTAAAATATATGTCAAAACCATAACATTCAAGATACTTTTTATGTACCTAAAATATACATCACCCTGACATATATCAACTTGACTTGGTTTGTATTCTGATAAAAATGTACATGAGTTATTATTATTATAAACCATCATTTGAACTTATTTCTGGCAAAACAACTGTTAAAAACTCTACAGAATGCATTACATTCTAATATAAACTTTATTTTGTGTCTTAAAAAATGGTTTAATCCTACATGGAATATTTTACATAGATATACTTGATAATACTCCAATATAAACTTATGTATTCCAGAACTGTTTAATCCTACATGGAATATTTTACATAGATATACCTGATAATATTCCAATATAAACTTATGTATTCCAGAACTGTATTAATCCTACATGGAATATTTTACATAGATATACTTGATAATATTCAATATAAACTTATGTATTCCAGAACTGTATAATCCTACATGGAATGTATTACATGGTATACCTAGCATCAAAACCTCAGTTAATGAGTAACAAATGTTAAGATACAATTTTACTTAAATTACCTATAAATACAAAATTTAGAAATTGAATGAAGTAACAGAGATAACCCCACTGATATATTTTGATGCATTATAAGTTTTTAGCATTTCTAAAAAGTTCAAGTATATCATTAAGTGACTTGTTTCATATAATACAGTTTCAGTATTTCCTGGGTAATGAAGGCCATATAACATGTGGTTGATTACACTGGAGTGTACATTTCAAATATGCTCATTCATTATAACCTCCTTTAATATGGAGGTTGCAAAAAGAATTGCCACACCCACTAGGAACTAGAGTAATTAATCTCACCATGTATGAAGTTATCCGATACACACCTGTGTCTATAGATATTTTAACAGAAGATTTATTATAGACTCAACAGGTACTTAAAATACAAAAAAAAAACCTGTTGGATGTCAGACCAGTGACAAGGTTTAAAATAATATAATCAAGTGGTCCATAAATCCATGTAAACATGCATCCGTAAGTCCCTGTATTTTTATACAGACACACACACTTTGTTCTATAAACCGAGCAAAACTGGTTAGGCATAAAAAAAACCACAAAAAAAAAACAACAACTAATGCTATGAAAATGTTTTTGAAGAGTAGCAACATAAAAGTTGGACAAGTACAAAGCATAAAAAAACCCACAAAAAAAAAAAACAACAACTAACACTAATGCTATGAAAATGTTTTTGAAGAGTAGCAACATAAAAGTTGGACAAGTACAAACACTGAGTGTATCAATCACTTGGCAACACATATTCGGCATGTACAGTACTACAATCATTGTGTTCATGATTACATTCTTCTCTGTAAAATCTGAGTATTGTTTTCCACTACAGCACCTGCAGTAATATTTTAGGGAAAAAGGCACCATAGGACATACAAGAGCCAGTGACAGATTGGACAATAGGTTTATGACAAAAAGTATGTACTATTTGTGAAACAGAAGAAAAAATAAAAAAACCCAAGTACAAATAAATTCATTAATACTCTGCAGTTTTGCACTATAAACCATCTGTATATTTCTATAGTATACAAAGTCAGTTTTAACTGAACAATGATTTATTGTACACAATATTAAAAATGAATTTTAATCTCATATGTGTACATTCAACAAAACCTTCAAAAATGATAATGGCACGCAAATGGTCACTGAGTAAAAAAAATACACATATCTATTTGAAGTTTGTAAGCAGTAAGGTAATTTCGAAAAAAAAAAGGTTTTTTACTTCTAATTTTTAGGCCTAGTTTACAAGAAATATTCTTTCAGTGTAATTCTGAAAATTCAACACAACATGAATAACTAAGTACACTGATGTGAATTTATAAAGCAGAACACATTATCCAATAAAAAATTATATCACCATATATTATTATTAAAACCTAAAGTCAAGGTTCTTGTTACCACTAGTGACATATCAATGTTCAAGATGAAAGGTTCCTTCATAGTCTTGTTATCAATAATATGTTTAGTATGGCTTACAAAAACAAACACAAATAACTGCCAACAAATACTATCTTGTTGTATACACCCTATATTGTACAAATACAGATGTGAAGAACATATGCTTTGTTCTTAACTAGCAGTTTTTATGTAGATGTACTACTCTGTTAATCTACTAGCTACAACAAACCTTACTGTATGTACTCTGTTAATCTACTAGCTACAACAAACCTTATTGTATGTACTCTATTAATCTTCTAGCTACAACAAACCTTATTGTATGTACTCTGTTAATCTTCTAGCTACAACAAACCTTACTGTATGTACTCTGTTAATCTACTAGCCACAACAAACCTTACTGTATGTACTCTGTTAATCTACTAGCTACAACAAACCTTACTGTAGGTACTCTGTTAATCTACTAGGTACAACAAACCTTACTGTAGGTACTCTGTTAATCTACTAGCTTCAACAAACCTTACTGTAGGTACTCTGTTAATCTACTAGCCACAACAAACCTTACAGTAGGTACTCTGTTAATCTACTAGCTTCAACAAACCTTACTGTAGGTACTCTGTTAATCTACTAGCCACAACAAACCTTACTGTAATTACTCTGTTAATCTACTAGCCACAACAAACCTTACTGTAATTACTCTGTTAATCTACTAGCCTCAACAAACCTTACTGTAATTACTCTGTTAATCTACTAGCCTCAACAAACCTTACTGTAATTACTCTGTTAATCTACTAGCCACAACAAACCTTACTGTAATTACTCTGTTAATCTACTAGCCACAACAAACCTTACTGTAAGTGCTCTGTTAATATACTAGCCATAACAAACCTTACTGTAATTACTCTGTTAATCTACTAGCCACAACAAACCTTACTGTAATTACTCTGTTAATCTACTAGCCACAACAAACCTTACTGTAATTACTCCGTTAATCTACTAGCCAAAACAAACCTTACAGTAATTACTCTGTTAATCTACTAGCCAAAACAAACCTTACAGTAATTACTCTGTTAATATACTAGCCATAACAAACCTTACTGTAATTACTCTGTTAATCTACTAGCTACAACAAACCTTACTATAATTACTCTGTTAATCTACTAGCCACAACAAACCTTACTGTAGGTACTCTGTTAATCTACTAGTCAAAACAAACCTTACAGTAATTACTCTGTTAATATACTAGCCATAACAAACCTTACTGTAATTACTCTGTTAATATACTAGCCATAACAAACCTTACTGTAATTACTCTGTTAATCTACTAGCTACAACAAACCTTACTATAATTACTCCATTAATCTACTAGCCACAACAAACCTTACTGTAATTACTCTGTTAATCTATTAGCCATAACAAACCTTACTGTAATTACTCTGTTAATCTCCAACCATAACAAACCTTACTGTAATTACTCTGTTAATCTAAGTCAGCTTGCCAGCTACAACACTCAGAGTTCTACTATATGGCCAACCTGCGCCCCCATTTGTTAATCAAAATAATAACAACCACAATAATGCTAAACATCCCGACAACATTCGTTTATCAACCCAGTTGAAAGTTATTCACCACAATGACAGTATTCAAGTACAACAGATTTGGTGACTATTTGTATTTAATCAATACTTTTCAACATTATGTTTCTAACATACAGATTTCAACTGTCCAGAGTGCAATGTATGGCATCTTTTATTGTGCTACCAAAATATACTGTTAGTTCATCAGGGTCTGATCCAGGAGTTTATTTAGAGGGGTTGGCTACATGATGGGGTTTTGGTTAAAATTTTAAACTATAGAAACTGGATGATTCCAAAAATTATTCGTATAGTTGGGGATTGGGATGCGTAGCATATTTTAGACCATTCCTTTTTGTTTAGTGGCTTTATTTCTCCTTCATTTCTTTTTTTTACATGCTCAAGAAAAGTGGGTTGGCTATCCACTCCTCCTGAACCAGCTTTTCTTTAATGTACTTAACTGCAAGCTGTACCGAATTGATCTTTCTTAGGAATGAAATAGCCAGTATAAGAAATATTCTTGATAGTATTAAACATTCAACAGTATGTTGTGTTTTTTTGTACAAATGTTTTTACTATAGTTTCTACATCAGTCTTGAAACCTGAGCTTTTCCATAATTTCTGTCAACTCTCACTTGTCCTTAGTCTAATTTGGTTTGCTATTCAGTATTGTCAATGTGAAAGAAAGAGATAAGCAAGTAAATACAGACGAAGGTGAGTGAATGTATGTATCTACACACCCACATTCAATTGTTAAAACTCCTTATGAAGGTCTATTTGAAGCTGGTTTTCTTTTGTGTGAATAATTACATTTAAATAGATACATTTTATTTCAAGAATTTGTGGTTTCAGAGATAAGCATACAAAGGATGGAAATCAGCTTGCTGTGTAACAATAGCTCAGTACTAATCTAATAAGGCTTAACAATTAGGTAATTGTTATTGTTAGCCCAATCAGTTTTTATTAATGTACCATAAGGATGAGCAGAGTTCAATATCCCACAGTTCTCTCATAAGTTGTACGTTCTGAATCTAGCTAGATAGATACCTACATACATAGTTTAACAAAATGATGTAAGTGGCTTATTGAAACCTAACAAACTATAGGTTCAACTTACCTCCAAACATCACTAGCTTTAGAGTATGTTGAAGACTTGATGACTTCTGGTGCCATCCAAGCATAGGTTCCAGCTGCCGACATTCTCGTGGTTTTGTACAATTCTCTAGCTAGTCCAAAGTCTGTGATTTTCAAGGTTTTTTGCTTTAAATCACCAATATCCAATGGTTCACTCAACAGCACTAGGATAAAATGGAAGAAATACAGCTATAATTATTAAGCAAAATAAAAGAACATTTTAAAGACAAAGTTTGATAACAACACATAATTTATGTCATTTCAAACCACATTTTAAGAATACTTGCTGTTGGACAGTACACCAATCAAAAAGTAAAACAGAGTAACTTTCAACCTCCTAAAAACCATCAATTACAGATAGAAACTATAATACACTTCCAATTCTGAATAAGTTTATTAATAAACAACAAAAGAGTAAATGGACCAAACTGTCACAAGTCTCAACAATTTTGAAACATCCATGTGTCCTCTTCAGTCTCACACTGTCTTCAGGAAACTGAAGAGGACATACGGCTGTGTCAAAACTAGTTTTTCCAATATCGAGAGTTGTGACAGTTTTATATGTAGTTTTTTTTCTTTAGCTGCTACACACAATATTGTGTTATTTTATGAAGCTTATTAATACTATTCACGTTTTAAACAACTGTGTATCTTGCACAGGATTTGAAGTATGATTTTTAAGAAATATCATAGCCTTCAAAAATTATTATGTAATAGTTCAGCACAGTAGATTAATGTATGGAAATAGCTTACTATAACAACTTTTATACAAGAAAGGAAATTGATACCTTTTTTAGTTACTTATCAATTTTACAAACAATATTTAGTTTTAATAATTATACTTTATATATAGAAATAGAATATGATAAATAATAATAATTAAATTCTGTAACCAAACACCAATGAGTTTCCCACTTATTTTACATTACACTATTCTGATATGGCATAATTATGTAAACACATGGAATCCACTTGACATGTTACTTTTATCTGTTAGGCAATGTACAAAGCAGACAATGAGTGTTTGAGTTGGCTTTGTATTATAATATAGCAAACTGATAAGGTATAGTGTACAGAGGTGAAAGTTGTTTCACATGATTCTGTTTTGCAATACACTAGATGATTCCGTTTTCTGATATTCACGTGACTTTATATATTTTACACTAAACCAACATGCCTCAAATAGTTGCAACATTAATATCATCAAGTGTACTGTCAGTTACATTTATATACATCATTCAACTGCACCAATCCCACCCAGATACTACTAATGTTACCCTGTGTATTATTAACAAAAATCTTATCACCTACTTATTTTGTGACCCCAATGTAACATGTAATTCTAGTCCATGCCATCTTACAACAAACCAATCACTTTTCACTTTAAACAGGTGGTCAGTATTTCCATTTCTGGAACTCCGACAAATACTTCAAATACTACGATGTTTTTATTACTTGGTCACGTGCTGTTCTAAAAGTCCCCTTTGTAAAGGAATTTGATAATTGAGGGTTTACCTTGGTCATTATAAAGAAAAATAACTTAGGCAACTAAGTGTGACAACTCCCTTTTGTTATGTAAACAGCCAACTTACGAAGCATGCAACAGTTAACGCAGCACGTGATACAACGCGCTAAACAAGCCCGTTCTACGTATACAAGGTTATTTATACACGTGCTCAGGTCAGTAAGATGACCCCCATTCCTCACCCTCCCCGAAGCAATAACGTGTTTTACACTAGGTACACTGCGGGACATTACAACAACGTGTTTTACACTAGTTACACTGCGGGACATTACAACAACGTGTTTTACACTAGTTACACTGCGGGACATTACAACAACGTGTTTTACACTAATTACACTGCGGGACATTACAACAACGTGTTTTACACTAGTAACACTGCGGGACATTACAACAACGTGTTTTACACTAGTTACACTGCGGGACATTACAATAACGTGTTTTACACTAGTTACACTGCGGGACCATTACAACAACGTGTTTTACACTACTTACACTGCGGGACATTACAACAACGTGTTTTACACTAGTTACACTGCGGAACATTACAATAACGTGTTTTACACTAGTTACACTGCGGGACATAACAATAACGTGTTTTACACTAGTTACACTACGGGACATTACAATAACGTGTTTTACACTAGTTACACTACGGGACATTACAATTTCAGTTCCGGATGTTATGCATTTTCTTCTTGTCCTTCTCAATCAGTGTTTCTCTGAAGGATTAAACATCGTTTTACACTAGTTACACTGCGGAACATTACAATAACGTGTTTTACACTAGTTACACTACGGGACATTACAATAACGTGTTTTACACTAGTTACACTACGGGACATTACAATAACGTGTTTTACACTAGTTACACTACGGGACATTACAATTTCAGTTCCGGATGTTATGCATTTTCTTCTTGTCCTTCTCAATCAGTGTTTCTCTGAAGGATTAGACATCGTTTTTTGATATCCCATCTAGTTATTTACTGTTTGTTAAAGAGCTGGTTTAACAATTATTAAGGTGTTTTTTATTGAGATGTCTTATTAATATCGTTAATTAACACATTCCTCGAACTTTGAAGGATCACCAGAGGTCGCTGATATTTGGTTCTAAGCCAAAATTTACAACAAAGAAATAATATTTTACTTGAAATGTTCAAGAATTTTACCTAGGATTATCAACTCTCCTTTGACCAATCAAATGTGCCCAGTAAATCAAACAGACGTTAACCCTTTCAACTGCGGCTGACATCACTATGATGCAAGTATTTTAAATGGCCCGCCGCAAAAATGCGCGAATCTTTGCGCATGTGGTGGTAGACAGATTTACACAAGCGCAAACGAAGGGTCAATAAAACAAAAATAATTTTGGTCACAGGTAAAGAGTTGAGTAGGCGGACAGATAGGTTATTTGTTTGTCAACATAATTAAGAAATGAGTTCGACGGATAACAACCATTATATTGCTTTTTCTGTCAAAAACGGATTCACTTATGTATCTAAAACTGTACAAAACCTCAAAATAAAACTGAAACAATGCTTGTGAAAATTTTATATAAACTGACGTTGAAAATGAAAAAAACTTTTTTTTTATTTCCAGCTTCCCAGTAACAGTTCAAAATACTGCACAGCATTATTAGAAAGTTATAACAGTTTGTAATCACGAAACACCTAGGGATTTTCAATCTGTGGTACACGACACAATTAATCACAAAATTTGTAATAAACCTTATCTGAGCTTTCCACGTACATATACATACTACTCTCCTCACTTATAGACTCACCCTCTACTTACATAGACTCGCCAGTATTTTCACTTACAAACACACCCTCTACTTTCATAGACTCGCCAGTATTTTCACTTACAAACACACCCTCTACTTTCATAGACTCGCCAGTATTTTCT